TATCAGTATTTAATGGATGAAAACAGAATCTTATTTCAAAATAAATCATCTGACGTTTCAAGACAATGCATTTACTTACTTTACAACTAAGATAAATGCCTTTCATATTTCTATATTGATATGTGAGATCTATTTAAATGAGCAGGATTTAGGCCATTAAGAAGATAATTGTAAACATTCTGTCCTTAGACTAATAAGATGTATGCATTGAACGTAAGAAGGATTCTAACTAGTCATTACGACGAAAGATATTATATTAATATCTTTATTATTATTCAATTAAAATGCTAAGACTACTTGAAATGCCATAACTGCTCACGTGTGACTAATTAATTCTGAGAGATGGGGAGAAAAATATTTGAAGAGATGAAAAACAAAATATTATGAAAAAATCTTAAGCAACATAAAGATGTAACAAAATGACATAAAATACATCACAGAAATAAAATATTTAAAAAGCCTATCATGCATGAATAGTTTGATAATTTTGCATTTTTATGTATTTCTACAAAGTCTGAACCCCAAATAGACAAAAAATCATCATACAGCACCTGAAATTGACAAAAACCATCACATAGGCCATTTAATAAAAAAAATCAAACAGCCCATGGAATAGGAAAACCCCAGCACATTGCCCCTACAATCCAGTGATGGAGACTACTGCATGATGATCTATATCAGTATTATGTTTATCTATCTATATGTAACATTTGAATAACAGAAATATTAAGATTACTTGATTCATCAGTGCACTGGAATATTCACTTGAATCTCCTCATCCTGAACAAATATGAGAAGTTTGTTATTGGTATTGTTCACAACCTTTTTATTTTAGCTTATACTTATGAGCACCATTAAGTTATCTTTTAATTGACAGCAGAGATATTGCGATAATAAAAAATGAATCATTTGGAAATAACTTAAGCTTTGTCTATTATGCGTCACGTATTCAGAGGCGGCAAATAACATTGAAGTGATTTCAATTTCCAGTGAGTGTTTGCCATCAGTATAGTTCAGAAAGATAAAAGTTGCAGAATCTTGCAGCACCGTGTAAAGCTATAAATTTATCTGAAAACATTAGAGGCAGGACTTGGGAAAGAAATAAACACAGATGTATTTACTATATAAAGGGTTTCATAGAAGATTTTATGGAAGATTTATGTATATTAGCCTATGTTAGGAAGGTTGAGTTAGCACTGTTTTTAAAATGTGCACGTGAAACGTACGTGTAAAATAATGCCCACATATGGACAATTTTCACATCACAGCCTTTATTTGCTTAATTGAGTATGAAGGTGTGAGGAAAATAGTTGGAAAAAGGTTCCCATTTAAACCAAATGAGCCGAGAGGTAGACAACAATCCCTGGGGGGTCATAGTATTTCACATTTACGTTCAACTTCTCCGTAACTTAACTTCTCTATTATTTTCTATACTACATGTATACAAGTTTTTTTTATGGAAACTGTATGTGTACTTTAGACTATACTATGGTGTTTATGGTATTCTATGCTATTCATAGCATGGAACGTTGATAAAGATTTGACATTATCGTCAATCAATTAGAAATATGTCTGCCACTACATCCTCGAACTCCGTAATTACCAATTACCAGACATCTCTCCGGATACTTTCTACAACAAAGAGCATCTTTATTGAAATATTTCATCCTCATACTCGTCAGAATCGATGCTGTATCACTGTAGTGTTTATGAAAGAACCCCAAGAACCATGTAACATACTCTGTTATAAGACATGATGCTTATGCTAGAATGTTCCATTTCGAAAAGAGTATTTTGGATCGAGCTGTACAAATGATGCAAGATTTTCTGGTTGATATCGCATGCATGTTCTGAGTTTTGTATTCTTGCATCCAGTGTATAAGTTTGTATATTTATTTTGGACATTATTTTTTCTTTTGGATACTACCCATGAAATGAAAACAATGCTTTTTGTGGCAATTCTAATCTTATCAGACCCTGATTAAGAGTGACTTGTCTAGTGAAAGAATTGTAGCTGGTACCACATGGAACATCCTCGAATATTGTATCTTGTGGACAGGTGATCATCAAGAAGGGTTGATCAACCTGAAGTCAGTTGGACATTTTTGAAAGTCATTTCATGTTTCATGAAGAGAGGTTTTCCTCACACTAGTGATATGGTCCATTGGAAAGGATTTGACCAAACATCCATTGAGAAATTGAGAATGAAGTGTTCTCTTTAGGATTCTCCCATGCTATGTTAATTTTTTTCCAAAAATTGATCAAAACATCATATTTCATCAATGTTCTCAACTGAATGTAAGATGATTTATATTTTTCAGCTGGGTACAAGAGGATTTATTTCTTCTCAACTGGGTGTATTACCTGCTTGCTCCGTTCTAGGAGACACCATTAAAGTCTATACAAGTGAACTCATTTTGAATTTGTGTAATTGTATGCTTTGAACATTGTAGCTTTAGGTATGTCAGCTATCAGTGATGCTGCTATATATTACAGTCGTGTTATTAACTGATAACGATTGATTCATGAAAAATTGTTGGTATTAATTCTAAGAATAAAACATTGATGAACTTAATATAGATCATAAACCTATTATGAAGAGTCGTGCCATTCATTCAAAGTGTTTCTCAAATTACTTAGCTAATATTTACACTGAAAAACTTGTCTCTTGTATCAAATCGGAAGGCATTTTTGGTATCACCCTGAAGTTCAGAAGCTAATATGAATCACTATCCTCTGCAAAGGACAAATGAATGTGAAGTTTTGATACTGATGATAACATCTTAATGATGTCACAAAATAGCTATAATAGAAATAGCTCTAAATAATACCCAGATTGTGATAATGGTACTTCAATGGTAGGGGAAGGTGTATTAGGCATTATAATGGTACTTCAATGGTAGGGGAAGGTGTATTAGGCATTATAATGGTACTTCAATGGTAGGGGAAGGTGTATTAGGCATTATAATGGTACTTCAATGGTAGGGGAAGGTGTATTGGGCATTGCTTCTTTTCATTGGGATTTGTTTTCCTTATGACAGGTGACTACGTTTATATATTTTATTTATATATTTTCTTTTTTGCTGTATATTGTAATAATGTTTGGTATTTTCGCTTTGGCACATATGCCTTCCATGGGAATTCGGATTTGAAATTAATGAGTTTAATAAGTTTTTTGATCCATATCTATCTATCACTCAGGGTATCCAAGAGGTTAAACATAAGGGTAATACTGTGTACTACTGATACTAAAAAACATGAGCAGATATAATTGCACTATGAAAACTATGTAAAACAATATCTTAAGTTAATAAGGTGAATACTCGTTTATACCTGTACATTAACCAACCCAACCATCCATAGAATGGAATTATGATGGATAATAAAATACAACATGTATTCAATACAACTAACATTGTCAGATGATTGCAGCTATTATATTCAACATGTAGTGGTTGACTCTGACCAAATATTGATAATTGTAGAAAAAGGTAATTTTTCATGGTTTAACCCCCATCTCCTTAATCTAATTAAATTTGAAAATGTTGATTTGATTTTCGCTTAAAATTTTTCAAAAAATCAAAATTCTTCAAGATGATGAAGTTGTCATTTGACCTTCCCCATAAAGAAATTATTTCATTTTACTTCATTCCTGAACAGATTATCTCAACTGAGGAACGATTCCAAACACAGGTATAGTATACTTTGTGATAATGCCAAACAAACAAATCTCTAGCATTCAAAAATCAATATAATCATCAAAGTAAAGGATATCCCATCAAAGCTATTATATTTTGTGGAATAAAGTGAAGTTACGAGCACCTCTCTCTCTCTCTCTAAAGTGGCACAACTTAGGGTATGATCGTGCATAGGGTGTCTTAGTGTAAATGAAGCAAGACTTAAACTCCCAAATTAGCTAAAAGTGTAAAGAGGGCAGTAGAGGTACTGTAGATTCGTTTTATTTCTTAACATTTAGAACTGTACAATATGTGTTTTCTCACATGGTTTTGAAATGTAAAATGAATCGTAATTCTGAAAGCAGAAGTTGTGACTTCTTTGTTGGCTAAAGGACAGTACAGGATTGGAGAGCGTACAATTTTAATTTCTACTCAAGACTCCTACGTGACATATTGTGGCACTTATTCCAGTACAATACACTGAGCATATTGTAGAGATTTTCTGCTCTATTCTTCTTAGATGATGCTTCAGTACTAATGTGTTATCTGAGAACTTGCTGCCTGTAATATCATGCATTCCCACATGCCACGATATATATTTTTCTATACTCTTTATTTTTAGTTATTTGAGATTATTTATTTGATTTGTGACTCATTACTCATAATTCACAATAGTGGCAGAAGAAATTCATCAGTGTGACAAAATTACATCTGTATAGAAGCAGGGTTCTCACCGGGAACTTTCTAGAACCCCGAAAATTTGTCCCATCCCCCCTCAGATCGCTGAGAAGTACAATTGTTGAAATAGTCATTATACATTATAAAGTTAAAAGTTAGATACTTACACTAAATAGAAAATTATACAAATATGCATAAAGTATAAACAGTTCATGAATGCTTTGAAAGATTTTATCAATATTCTATTTCTTTTATTGACTCCTACTTTTTTGAGTTTCACTCATGTATTTTCACTTATGCTAAGGTGATGTTTCTGTGGTGTTCACATTGAAGAAGTTGATGTTACAATCCCATCTTTTTCAGGAAACTACTCTAAAATTAATTGTACCAGTAAAGACAAATATCTCAAAACAGAGATTAAAAAATCACAGCTGCATGATTGCCAATGACATCCAATTTATGCTTTTGGCAATGGACTTAAAAAACCTCGTTGCCTGTTGGGCAATGAAATGAATGCTTATGTAAAATTGGGCATTCATGAAAATTGTTTTCAACCTTAGTTGTGAACCCTGTTAAAACATGCACATGTCTCTCAAAAACACACAAATACTAATATCTAACTGTTAGATCTCAATGTATTTGCAGAGTATGACACAGATGAGGAGACGGACCAACTACTGGACAGGAACTATGTCAAAGAGGCCAAGGTTGACATCCCAGAATTGTCTACACCTCCAGTTAACAGGAGTGCTCAGGTAGATAGATCTCTCAAATAAGTACAACTTCATTGATTGGGAGTAATGCCTTGGTCACATATGCTCCGATCCATCGGCTGGCGCCTGGCCGATTGAGTGTTTTGTTCAATATTGTATTCGATTTTGAACAAAATACTCAATCGGCCAGGCGCCTTAGTGAAAATCTGAGCAAATGTGACCAAGGCATTAAGTAAAATAAATATATGAATAAAAATGTGTTTTTTCAAATTTTTTATGTTCTTTATTTTTTGTTTTTTATTATTTTATATACATGCACTTGCAGTATCCTGTGTTTTATTTATTTACAGAAAGTAAGAAAGATTATACAAAGGATGATTTTCTGTTGCATCAGTGTCATTCTCCAAATACAGGGATTTAGCCATCATTCTAAGGAACAGAGTGGATGCTGTCTGTACCCCTGTGTTGGGAGGATGAGGGTCTTGAATTAGATTGATATTTGATTGGTCAAGCATCATCTACACATATTTTTCATTTTGATTGCAAAATTTGTATTAACTTCTTTTTATTCATCCTTATTCAATGAGAAGTATTTCTTGTGAGATTTAATTTCACACCTCTTACCAAAACCATTTTGTTCTATTAAACATTTTGAATTTAGACCATTTCTTCACATTCTGTAAACATTTTACTGTTGAAGTGTCATTAAATTTTTTGTAATATTAAAACCTTTATGGGGATTTGTATCATGCTTTATAATTGACTCCATTTGCTGACTTTCCCTTGTATTCACCTAATCCTTTTCACATTAGCATACATTTCTTAGAATTCTAAATGCATTACGGAGATGCATCACATTCTGACTTAATGGGATCTACAAATAAGGTCATATTAAATAATACATTAGAAAAGCCATCAACCAAGATGATATACATTACTCACGACTCCGTCCAGAACATTATTTCATTATTTTCTCTCTCTAAAATTTAGATAGAGTGTCTTATTTTCTGGTATTTTGCTACAATTTAAACTCTTTTCATCTTGCTAGTTTACTATTCTCTTGCAAATTCCATTTATTTTTATCTAGTTGTAACTGTATGACAATATGTTGTAGGAATGCCATTGAAGAATAATAACTTTATTATTATTTAGATAGAAGATTCCTGTCAGTTGGCATTCATAATGAAGCACTGATACAATACAATCAATGGCATCTAATTCTATATTTACAATTCGTGTCAAAAATTTCTTTTGTTTAAAGAAATATTCACAGTATGTTCAGTTTCCAGGATGCACTTTATCAATATCATTGTAATACTTCCAGTTTAACATAAACATTATCGTTAATTGAAAATTGATTATTTGAAGCAGTCTAACTGGCTACTTTTTAATATAGCATAAACTGTACGCTTGAGAAATCCCAACTCATTTGCAAATTCGTAATGATTATCAATTCCATCATATTTATCTGTATACCTTTATGAAATCCGATTAGCTTAATTGATATTGGAGATAAGTATTGAACTATTGATGTAAGCGAAACCTTGGCTCCTGTCACATAATTTCAATACCTGTGTAGAAGGTGGATATGGTCGAGGGGGATATAGGTACAGAACACTGTCAAGAGATTGATTCAAGACTAATTGTTTAATTTCTTACTGACATTCATCCTACAATATTAGAAATACCCTTTGAAAAGCTACATACATGTAGCCTCTTTAACCTTTACCATGCTGCCTTATTTCAGCAAATATATCCCACGCAACTGGCTTATTTTTCAAAGAGTGCAAAAAATGATATGCCTGGACTAAATAATTAATATCTCAATAACTACTGAATGAATCTGGATAAAATTTTCACAAAGGGAAAATACAGTGGCCTGGCTCATGAAAAAAATGTTCTCATGAATTTTTTCGTACATTAACACGACTGGGCATAAATATACCATGAATACTCCCCCGGAATCCGCCGCTCCGCCTCTTCGTCTGGTCAGAATCCAAATCTGAATTTGCAGCGATCGAATGTTCAATTTTTCAATTCAGAAAATATTCTAGTTTCTATTTTTGATGACCGTTATCGGCTTCCAAGAGCCTAAAGAGCTCGAAATCGTAATCCATTTCCTCCACATTTTCGTTGTGATCGTTTTTGTCCACCATTTTGTACGATTCGTTCACTAAAAACGACTAAAACACTGTTTAAATTGTTGAATTGAGAATTATTTTTCGAAATATCGCCATTTCTAGGTCAACAGGAAGTCATGTTAGGCACTGAATAAATCGGGCAATCTAATTGACCTTTTGCGATCAGAATTCAGGAATTTTGTTTATGGATACTGTTGTCATGTATTTCGTCTTATTGGTGTGACGTCATATAGAAATGATATTAGACATGATGGAATCACGAAATGGCGGACACTTGGCAGTTTTGAGCTAAAAATATTGTCGTTTCTTTTATGAAAACCATGAGTCGGATATTTACCAGTTAAGCCACATTGACTAGATCATGATTATTTCTATATATGTGCGAAGTTTGGGTGAAATTCATACTAAACATCGATGCCTATTAGCGCCCCCCGTTTTTGTCAAAATCGGGGGGCGCTTAACCGCTATCTAAATCATGTCAGTAAGATCTTAGACTTGGTATGTGCTTAGCATGAATGTTGATCTAGTCAAATAGAGCGCTTTCATGAAAAATGAATCAATAAAGCACGAAATATAGAAGATAATCTCTCAAAATCAAACATCTAGAGCTAGGTGACCTAATTGTGACGTCACTACAAGATAGAATCCATTCAGTGATCGCAAATCATCAATTGGACAATACGAATGGCGCGAAAAAGTAAAGTTTTTAAAAGTTTGAAATCGGGCGTATGGGTCCGCCGGCAGTTGTGAGAGACATTTTAGTCTCGGCGGACGAGTCCGCCGGCAGCACGCTAAAGGTTAAATGAGAGGTTATTTTCTGATCTCCTCTCTATTCAGAGTCAGAAGATAGTGATCAGAAAATCACAAATTAATTTTTTATAAACAGGAAATCATACCTTGACTTTGTGCATTGAATTTGGCACATTTTCTTCATGCCTGAATCTGGCTTATTAAACCACACTTGGCATTTGGCCATTCACCCTTGGGTCATTGTTCTCATAAAATGAAATCCTCATCTGAGATTATTATAATGTTATCAACTTCAAAACTGTAAAATCATCTGCTATAGATAGAGGGTAATGTAGCTAGCTGAAACAGAATCAGGGTAAATGAACAACAAAATCGAACATCAGCCATGTCTTAAGTCAAAATAATTAGTATGCAAAATGTCATGGTATCATGAGACCGAAGACTCCCACTTTGCTCTGAAATAATTGAAATAAGTTGGAAGTAATGGCATTTTCTTAATTAAATACACCTTGATGGCAGAATACATTTTGCTGGTTCCTGTGTGTTTGCTCATTTGATTAGCGGTAGACAGTTCCCTTGTGTTCATCTCCCACGTAATATCAGTGCTTCATAGACCAACCCGAAGTTTCTATTCCAAAAAATGATTATAATATATGGTTCGCCATGTGAGCTTATAAATTGCAATCAGATTGCATGCATGTTTATTTTCCTGGTGTTTTTAAATAATTCATTATTATTATGAAGTTCAAATATTTAAAGAAAAACAGAATTTTGGTCACAGTTAATTACAAGAGCTTGATATTTGTGAATATGGTTTAATCTGGAATTTCTTTCCACAGCAGCCTTTACTGTATTGTAGATCTTTGTTTCATGGATGGACAACTCCCACAACTACATGTATAAAACCTCAGTGAAACTAATATTGTAAATATTGTTGTTTTTTTCAGGCTGAGAAGCGCCGTACCAGAGCAAAAGAAGGTAAATTTTTATTCATATTTGACCAGGTGATTATGAGACACAACATTGATTATCTTATAGTGAGATTTTTTTTTTCAATGAACCACGAAGTAGTAGATATTGGAATAAAGTGGTCATTTCATGATTTTATGATAATTCAAAAGACTTAGTAGTTTTTCACAAAAAGGTGGAAGGATATTAAGCACACGTATGTTGCCCTGTCACCATCTGGTAATTGTCACGTCTGATAATCGTCACATCTCTTTCTTACAAAAGTTTGCAAATCTAGTGTAAGAAATGAATTAGTGCCAGTGTGTTCTGCTGTGTAAAACCCTAATTTCAATTCCCAGTTCTTATCTTATTTTTGGTTAATTACATTTATAAACGTAAAAGCATTCCTCTGAGTGGTTCACAAGCCATTTAAAAGGTTGTTGTGCATTATTTCTCTTTTAAAGCTTATAAGTAAACCCTTTGGACATCCAGGTCTGGCCAGCCATGGCAAGGTTCTCAGATTGATTTTGTAATAAGTGAGGCTTTAATGAATCCCTGTGTGTGGTGAATCAGCCCACAACATTGATTGATTCCAATCTTTCCGTAACATTCCTTTAGATCACCCTTCATCCCCATGGAAGTGTTTCTTCAACCAAACACGTAGCAGTGATTACAAAAATGACGTGAATTCAGCTTTGGGAGTTATTTGTCGTAGTTTGTGCTCTTGGATAGGCGCTGGCTGCCGGCTGAAATTGATTGATTTGAATGAAATGTGCGAAGTCCCTCAGGGGTAGGCTTACGAAGTAATAATGTCACTGACTGTGCTATTAGCCATAGCATTGATTGAATCAAGGAAGAGCCTGGATTTGTTGTATAAAAAAGATGGCACTACTGTTGTTCTGCAGTTGTCACTTTGTTTGTATTACAGAAGTAGAGTTCACATAATAGAATTACCTAGCAAGTCCTGACCCCTTTTAATAAACCTAAGAAACTAGAGTTCATTGGTTAGATCATGGACATTCAATCCCCATGGTTAGATATATGATGCCATTCTGTGAGAGATTTTTGAATATTAGTTCATTGTATTTCTACCAACTATGAGAATGACATCTTATCACCAATAGGTGGCATGTAACAAGGATTGGTCTTTTATAGATTGATTCAAAGGTTTGAAGGATAGTTTTCTTCTTTTTTTTCATTGTTATAGTCTCCAACTCTGGATTATGTTCGGTGGCTGGTGTTTGGCATATGTGGTTAGTGTTTGGTCTCTATAGCAAGTGACAGGTGGTGACATTTTGCATGTTGATGCCTTGTCAAAGGCATTTCATTCTTTGTCATGTCTATTTACAAAACTCAACATGTACATGTATAAGGTTTATTTGTACATGGGAGATTTGAAATTTGTTTTTAGTGTTTTCTGAAAAATTTCACCTTTAAGTGTATCTACGAGGTGTAGCATCAATTAAATGTGACATCATCAGCCTTTGAAGAGGCAATCATGAAAATGAGTCATTTAAAGTGTTAATGTGTTTTATGTTGTCATACAATTTGTGTCATCATATTTTAAGAATTAAGCAAACATTGAAATATATACCTAGTGATTTCAACTCTTCCCATGTTGCCCCTTGTGATTTCAATTCAGTTATTAAAACAGGATGAAGAATTCTGAACACGTCAGATAGTTTTCTTCCAAAAAACAAGAATTTCATATATTTCAAATCTAAAAACAACCATATAAAGCAGATGAAAAATTATTTTAAAAAGGGGTTTAAGAAGGTTGTTCCTACCTAAGTTGCCTTGTTGGGTAACAATAAATTACTAAATAAAGAAAAATTACTCACATTTTAATTATTTAGTGTAAATTAAACATAATTTGTCAAAGTTAAAGCCATTTTGCGAGAAATTCTGGATATTTAAGTCATTCACCTTAGCAATGAATACATTGATTGAAATGACTAGATGGAAGAGCAGCACTATTGAAAGGTTATTGTTGATATATTAGTATGCCACAGGTGGACGTTCCTAGCATAGGGGCCCATTAGCTTCATGCATTTAGATCACTCCAGAGTGATATGTCAAAATAAAATATGTTGATATGGCAATTTTCAATAACAACCCATCAGCAGTTATTGACACAGGATGAAGAATTCCCGACAGATATTTCTCTTTCCAAGAACAAGAATTTCAAATAGAAAAAGCAGATGAAGATGTATAAGGCAGATGCAAGGTCTGTAGGAGTGGCGGAAATAAAAGATTTAGTTTTTATTTCTCAGAAAAATGTGTATATGGAGCAAACTAGCAAGGGGGGAAATAGAAGAATTTAAATTAGTAGGCCAGGGTCAGCTATTCAAGAATTGAAATTACCAGAGGCAACATATAAAATAATTGAAATCACCAGAAGCTATCCCTCGGCCATCCTGATATAGTCACATTTATAATGAGACTCATTTATGATTCTCTTTTATGCTTGTTATGTCACCACCAGAAGGATGGTGTTTGGCTGTCAGGGTTGGTGTTCGGCAGTCAGTGTCTGTAACAAATGACAGGTTGTGATATGTTAATTCCTTGTTTATTATTCGGTTTTCACTAATATGCACTAGTATTAGCAAGAAATTCATAAAAGAAATGTTCAAAATGAAATATCTGTTCTGTAATCATCAAATCTGAATAATCATATGCGGTTCTGACCTTCTGTAGGCTGATTCCGGGGCACCATTCGCCAGAAAGCATCATGTAACTGTGTAAAGACATATGAAGCACTTTTAAAATTGAAATTAAGTTACTCAGTCGTTCCATGAACTATTATTCCTCAAGGATTAATTTTCATCTACATATAGTGATCTCTATTTAATAATTGCATGTTACATCTTGGAAATTCCCTTGGCAACATAAATTCTAATCCATTTAGAGATATAAAAAGGAATATTTGATTGTACTCATGCAATTATATTATTGTATTAGTTAGCAGAGTTATTACATATAAAATCAGCAGCCATATCAATTATCTCATGGTTTAAGATATTGGAATTATCTTCGGGCAAATAAAAAAAAATTCTTCAAAATATTTGTACTCAATATGGTGCATTCTGATGGGACCTTGAAAAGCATGCTAATGTAATTGAAATAATTTGAATGAAAAAATAGAATTTGTATTTCCAGTAAGGTGCTCTGATTTTATCATGAAGAATATTGTCAAAAGAGTACAATGTTACATACAAACTAAACTGACAAAAATTAATTGGATTATCCATCATTTCATAACATTATAACTATTGAATTCTTTTGCCCCTGGTTGTGAATTATTAATTATACCGACTCCCAGACTATTGATTGTAAATTAATTGCATAATCTGCTAGCAAGAAAGTACGAGAAGAACGTATCTGACATGTCTGACTCTTGATATATTTCTAATTGTACAGATTATTGTTAGATGTCTCTGTAGTCAAAGAAGTAAAAAATGGAGTAATTTGTTCACAAAAATCTGTGTCTGGCTTTGGACTAAATAATCTGATTAAAAATCATCATCTTTTCAAAAACAATTTTGAAAAAGCAATTATTTCAGTTGAAATAATTAATTGCATCAATATTTTCTCTATATTCTGTGAAAGTTTCAAAACAATATATTGAAAATGAGAGTCCTTTCGCATATACTCATTAAAGAACATGTTGTGTATGAATGGCTTGCAAATCGGGTATAGAATGATTCAGTTTAGAGAGCACATAGGGATAAAGGGTTTCATAAAGACGAGCATCAGACAGATATAAAGACATATCAAACAATGTATACTAAATGTATTAACTCATGTATGACATACACATATATGTATACTAAAATGATAAGCAATTATGAATAGACATTCTGCTTTACCTGACCCCATCTATCCGTCGTATGTGAAAGATCAAGACAAAGGGGGCGCAGTTGTCGCAATGATGAATAGCTGATTAATAGAAACCACCTTTGTATTTCCATAGAATATAAAATGCAAATAATGAATTTTGCATCAGTTCTTGGGATTTGAAACAGAATACTCTTAAGTAATTATCATTCACTTGATAATCGTCAGGAAGAGAACTTTTATGCCTTACTCCATTAGTTTCTCTCAGCATAGATTCCTTTGAGAGATATATGTATGTCTTCATTTCCTTGTAATTCTTTCACATCATATTCTATTAATAACTAATGGGATTCCTATACTTTTAATATCAATACAGCCATCAGGTTTTCAATTCAATTTCCCTCTAAAAGTGAGAAATTTTCTGGATATTGTTTATAATTTTTAAGTATTCCATCTCCATCACTGTTCATTCTAATTGTTAATTATACCTAAGTATTATTAGTTTTTTCACATTACGAAACAGGATTTCCTTAAGAGATTTACCATTCAAAGCATGAATTCAAAGTGACACTTCATGAACGTATTAATGAGGAAGAGGATTATATTAGACATCTTACATAATTTAGTCACGCTTAAGAAGCAGTATAAAATTTGGTCATGGTTGAAATGCCTCAATTGATTTTCCAGTCATTTATTTATGGATAAAGCTTCTTTGACCTTTTTGGATCTTCATTGAAAAACATTGTTAGACACTGTAAAAGTGCTGAAAATTACAGTAAAAATTGACCATAGAAATGATACATTTGCTCTGCCAAGCTCATCCTTGTCGAGGAGCTGTATTTTGACTTTGACATATGATGCGATAATAAATCATAATTGTGTTTGGTGATTAAAGTGACAATGATGATAATAGTATGGTGATTGATTGTACAATGATGAATGCTATTTTGCCTATGACAATGATGCTTAATACAGATTTAATAATAGACAAAATATATGTTGACCTTTTAAAATTACACCCCAGTTCACTGTTGTTAATTTAGAAATTGAACCATCATCAATTTGATTCTCAAGGGAGATATCAAAGCTACAGTAAGAGGAGGTTTTTACTTTATTGGTTCAGTGGTTCTCATTGCCCCGTGAAGAAATAGCTCCAGTAGTCATATGATTTCAGTAATGTTTTTGTTTAGATTTTCATAAAATGTTTCAATCTTTAGATTTTCTGTAATGCTTAGAGTGTCAACTACTCATCTTAGGACTTTTATTTCTTGCCATTTCACTGTTTTCCTCTCTATTTTGCATTTGAAAACATGATAAAGTTGAAGTTTTTCACATGGGGGACATTGTTTAATTTATATTTTATGCTTGGAATCACACTGTTCATTGAAACAGTGTAACCGGTGCTGTATAATGCGACATTGTAAAGCTCATGTTCTAGGTTAGCTAAAACAGCTCATCTCGATTCACAATTTGCCTTCAGATCAAGTCGAGAACAATGATGGCAACCAATGTTCATGTGTTTGGCTGTGCTTTTCATTTACGATGAAAAGTTATTTTTTCAGTTTATACTTCAAATCATCTTATGGATGATATCCATTTTTATGTCATCACCAGAGGTTGACATTTTGTTATAATTTTCAACCTCTTTATGGATGGTGTGCATTTGGTGGTTAGCACCTGTAACAAATGGCAGGTAGTGACATTTTGTATGTTAATGCCTTGTTCAACAATTGTAGAAGAATAAGGAGGTAAATTTTGTCTAGACAAGGTTGATGATGATAATTTTGTCAGTGAAGAATGTTTATTTTCGAAAATTTTAGTGTATCATAGGCAGATCAACAATTTCAAAATTCATTATTTGAGGAAGGAAGGGGGTGGAAGAATCATAATGAAATGAACTTCTTTTTTCACAACTGTTGACCATTGTCTACCATCCCTTAATGATCTCTCCACATAGATCTGCTTTGACATTTTCATTGTCAGCTTGTGATTTATGATGTGTGCCTTTTTCTTGGATGTAATCAGTGGATGTTCGCAATCATTGCTAAGAAGGCAATCAGAGAAATGTAAGCATAGTAAATTCACTCCTGTCAGGATTATATTGTGATTTTCTGCTCGGATGGCATATAATGAGACTCCGTATTCAATGGTTGTTTATACACTGACGGACTGTCTTTTTGTCCTTCTGAACCAAATCAGTGTTTGGCCTTTTGACATATTGTAGCTGTTACCTTTGTAGAAGCAAGGAATGTCCCAGTACATGAACTGTGGATTCTTCATGAAGCAAGGAATGTTTCAGTACATATACTGTGGATTCTTCATGAAGCAAGGAATGTTTCAGTACATGTACTGTGGATTCTTCATTAAGCAAGGAATGTTTCAGTACATATACTGTGGATTCTTCATGAAGCAAGGAATGTTTCAGTACATGTACTGTGGATTCTTCATGAAGCAAGGAATGTCCCAGTACATGAACTGTGGATTCTACATGAAGCAAGGAATGTTTCAGTACATGTACTGTGGATTCTTCATTAAGCAAGGAATGTTTCAGTACATGTACTTTGGATTCTTCATGAAGCAAGGAATGTCATAGTACATGTACTGTGGATTCTTCATGAAGCAAGGAATGTCCCAGTACATGTACTGTGGATTCTTCATGAAGCAAGGAATGTTTCAGTACATGTACTGTGGATTCTTCATGAAGCAAGGAATGTCCCAGTACATGTACTGTGGATTCTTCATGAAGCAAGGAATGTTTCAGTACATGTACTACTGAGTCGTCATGGGGTACTGTGCGTGCTTTGAAGGTTTTGCTATAGATATAGAAACAGGAAAGACATGGCATTTTCTTCTATTTGCTAATAGCATTTTAATCCCAATGGTTAGGTCAGCGTCGCATTAAGAGATTACTATAGAGTCGATATAACACGTTCTACCTAAACAAAGATTATTTGGATAATTGAGTTCTTTATCACCCATTTCTACAGCAAAGAAGAGACTAAATGATATACACTGAAGAGAAAATAAAAAGTGATGAAGCACACATTGTAAATATTATACGGAGCACAGGATATTTGGATTTAGAGGATGAATAGTTAAGATTGGATTCAGGTGTTTTATGACATCATAGAGTAACGCTGTTTGTCTTATTCAGTTGACTTTCTGCTGATATTATTCTTGTTTCATCTCATGGTGGATCAATGTGATCTTGGATTATATAGTGAAGCAGATTTTGGGATTATCTCATACATTGAAAAGTAGGCATATTATTTTCAAGATTTTTTGTAATTATTATGTTTCAAGGATGAGTTTAATGAATGTATATGTACTGATCTAATATACTTGTATAAAAGGCTTGAAAATATGCAATCAACTATGCCTCTAAATATGAGTCCATGATATGATGACTATTACATGCATTGTAAAATTATGGTATGTTTTTTTTATTACATGTATTAACCAAATGTTGGATTTCTTTCTTTTTTGCTTCGGATGAAAATTTACTGGTGAGTGATATTCATAAAAAGATTTATTTTCTCATTTTTTATGTTGTACATGCACATATAAATATTGCTTTCCAGATAGATATTTTCATATTTGTATCCTTTCCAACCTTTCAGTCTTTTTGGGTGATAAAAATATTTTTATTGTTGTCTTTAATTAAGTTTATATCTACTTCGGTGATGGATATTTTTATTCAATGATTAATGTGTTTATGTAAATGACAAATAAAAATAGTAGTGTACACACCAGATGAAGTATTCCTGATATGTCAGCACGAATCAAAAGTTCTTGTAACTTATCTTTTCAAATCCTTAATTCTTATTATTCATTCTTCAATTGTTCAAAATAAGACTTCTACCTTTGCATTACTAACTGCCTTCATTTCAACTGAATAGTGTTTCCTAAAGTCCAATACTTTCCAACATTTCAGTTCAGTCCAAAGTCAAATGTTTTCTAACATTTCTGTCAAGTCTAAAGACAAATATTTTCTAACATTTCTGTCCAGGCCAAAGTCAAATGTTTTTCAATATTTCAGTCCTGTCCAAAGTCAAATATTTTCCAACATTTCTGTTCAGTTCAAAGTTAAATATTTTCCAACATTTCTGTCCAGTCCAAAGTCAAATAATTGAATATTTTCCAATATTTTAGTAATGTCCAAAGTCAAATGTTTTCCAACATTTTAGTCCGGTCCAAAGTCAAATATTTTCCAACATTTTAGTCCAGTCCAAAGTCATCAAACATCAAACGTTTTCTGACATCTCCGTCCAGTCCAAAGTCAAATGTTTTCCAACATTTTAGTCCGGTCCAAAGTCAAATATTTTTCAACATTTTAGTCCAGTCCAAAGTCACATAATTGAATATTTTCCAATATTTTACTAATGTCCAAAGTCAAATATTTTCCAACATTTCAGTCTAGTCCAAATTCAAATATTTTCCAACATTTTAGTCCAGTCCAAAGTCAGATGTTTTCAAACATTTCAATCCAGTCCAAAATCAAACGTTTTCTGACATCTCCGTCCAGTCCAAAGTCAAATATTTTCCAACATTTCAGTCTCGTTCAAAATCAAGTATTTTTCCTACATTTCAGTTCAAATCAATGATCCTGATGATCCCTCAGTGCTGATAGAAGGCGTACTGTTCCGTGCTAAATATCTTGGCTCAACCCAACTGATCTCAGACTCAGCGCCATCTAAAGGGATGCGTATGATGCAGGCCCAAGAGGCTGTGGGCAGAATCAAGGTGAGATTCATGCAATATTAATACATGTATGAAGCTTTTAGTTATGAGTGTTTGGGATCCCTCTACATTAAAATGTCAAAACACTGTGTGTTACATGGCATGGTAGATGGCAGAAGATCTATTAATCAGCCATTGCTCTGAGGGAAGCCTAGACTGTGATCATTAAATGCTGCATTTTTATAAAACATAATGCAACAACGGGGTGGAAAAGTGGAACTGCAGATTAAACTTTAATGCCATCTTTAAATCCTCTTGTACTTATCATTACTGTAACATAACAGGCTTCTGAGTACAGATTGGGAAAGTCTCTTACTCTACATGTATTTTTATAATTTACTGTCTGTATAATGTGATTATATGCATTTCTGAAAAAAGTACTGTATTATGTAGTGTAGTAGAAAAGTCTTGTCAAATTTAAGTTTCTTATAAGATCCCTAGATGCATGATGACCTCTATCTCTAAATGTGTAAACCCTGACTTTGTATATTCTGATATCACCAAAAATGTGGGTCAATAGGTTAAATGAGAAGTTGTAACACACTGTATTTTTGCCTTGGCTCATACAAACAGGCTTCGGTAAGTGAGATATAAACAAAGAGCTTGCTTCTTCCAGCTTGGCCAGTAGAATAATATGGATAAATGAAGGGGTTGGGATGGATCATGCAATAAAATAAAAATGGTTTTTATTATGTTTTTCTAATGCTAAAGAAGATTTCTTTGAAATTGTCAACATTCAGGTCTTTGCCTTCACTTCTTATGGTATAATTTAGTCCTAACACTACTGTCATCTGGTGGCCATTTTTAGTACCTAAAAGAGTTTCAGATTCGAAATTTAATCAGCGAAATGTCCATATATTGATAACGTTAGAACAAAACTTTCAACACTTTTTGAATAACTCTTATATTGGTCAAGCTGGCTATGAGAACAAAATGTGCATGTTGAAACTGGCGCCAACATCTGTTTAAAGTTGGTTGCAATAAGCATCTGAAACACAATTTTCTGTTAGCTAGATGTGCCTTCTGATTAGTTTATGTATTCTTTAGTTCTGAAAATATTACTTTATCTTATTTATAGTTCCATCTCTATAATCTGATAAGAACTCTATGTTGTTAGCTATTAAAATCATTTTTATTTCTGTATTTATTATTGATCAATGTTCAGTTTATTTCATTGGTAATCGTTAACATTCATAAAACATTTGTCGAATTTAAGATAACAATTAGAATTCATAAATAATATATACCTCTAAACCTACAACCTGTTTAAATTATATAGATAAAACCTTAACTGCAGATGATAAAACACTATTTTTATTGTTAATTCAAATTAAAACAGAGCAGCAAAATAAAGGTACTGTAAGGTCATCAATTTGAAGATATTTGTACGCTTCCATTCAATATTCCCTCCATACCATTCGCCATGCTTGTAGATATTGTTTCTAGTATAAACTCATTTTGTCTGTTTGTTCATTTATTTCCTGCAGACCTTGGGCACATTACATTTTGGTAAAAATTTCCAGGTAAATGTCTACTAGTTTAGTTGATTGAGACACTTGTTTTGTATTTCTGCCTAAAGATGTCTCTCACGGTTGATGCTACATGTATAGATGTCTCTCTGTGTTGAGACTTATATTTCATCATAGCTTTAATAGATGTCACTGTTAATAAGTTGCAAGTATATTGTTCAAAGTTCATCGAGTATATTTAGTTCATTTACATTTGAGTTAATTCACATATTAATTTATTAAAATAAACAATTAAATGCACTGTAGATGTCATTATATGCTTTAATATATTGCTAAATTACGCTTAAAGAAATCATTGTCTTGTCATGTTTTTATGTTCATGAAGATGAAATTATTTGTAGGAAATTGTTGTAATATACTTAGTTGCCATCTATTGATCTATATGTTATTTATTTCTGTTCAACATGCACCTTTTGATGCTCTCCCCCTCCTTCTTTCAAATTGCAGTTATTTTTTATTTTGAGTATAAATTGTGAATTTATTTTGCCTGTTATGACATGAGCCATGGCTGTAATTTACTGTATGTATATGTATAGTGTATCTATTTATTAAAATATATTGTAAGAAAGATAACAAGATTCTTTGCTAATACAACTGATTCTACTGATTCTAAGGGACTACCTTTTGCTCTGTTTTTTTCTGTATTACACAGAAATATTAATTTCGACAGTACTTAAACAACCCCTCTCCAAATCAAAGTAAATACTAATCAATTTTTGGTTTTTAGTTTCTATATTCAGCACTTTTGGCAACTATAGGTAAACAAAGAAAGCAGCCCTCAATAAAGTTTAACACCCGATATGTGTTGACCAAATTTTCAATTAATTTTTCCCAAATTTACCTCCTCCCATTCTTTCCCTTTTTGATGCTGTTTCGACCCATACATTGATATATTAATGAATGCTCCCTTGGATCAGTGAAATTGGTTTATGTATTGCTTCTTGTGATCTTAGATTTGTATCAGTGTGAACAACAATGCATGAGCAAAAATGATGCAGCGTCATTAAGGTAGGCGGTGTAGAATGAAAAATCAGATGTAATCTCCTTTAACTTTTACATGATGCTTGGGTAATATCCAGTGGATTAAATGCCCCATTACACTTTTTGTGTGTCAAATCTTGAGGTATGGCACATAAATGGTATGGTGGCAATTGCTATAGCAAGGAAAACTGTACAGTATACTGACTTTTTTCACAAATAGGCTAACAAATGTTATTCTACTACACCTACCTTAACTCCACATGTTTACAATTATACCATATGATAAAGTATATATATTCACCCAAAATGAAAAGTATGTAAAGTAAGAAACCATCATTATAACAAACATTTTAATGCTTGGCTTAGTTCCTTCATTTATGCAGAAACTAAATCTTGACTCCTTAATTTATACAGGAGTAAAGTCTTGATGTCTTTCTTCATGCAGGAGATAAAACCTTGACTCTTTAATTCATATAGGAGTCAAAGTTCATCCTTGTATCATTATTTCATGGATGATTTTAAATCTGATTCCTTAATTGTTGCAGGAATTCCCTCATTTATGCCGGAATTAAACATTGTCCCTATATTTCATGCAGAATTTAATCCTTAATTCCTTAATTCATGCTGAAATTAAATCTTGGGCACAAGTTTAGAATGTCAACAGGTTGGCTAAAATCGAGCCTATCATGACTATCTGTGTCTGTAGCATAACAATAGATATGTAATAAAGTACTTAACATTCACCTTTATGTTGTATCCTGTACAGAGTGAGCCCATGTTGGGCTGTGATGATTTTTCAGGGTGCCGAAATGAGACAAAGAATGTCAACACTCCTGTTACTTTTAGTGTTAATACTTTATGAAATCAGTGAATGTTTTGAAATCATTAAATACTAGAAAACTTTCAAATCCCAGATTCAATATGAAGAATTATCTCAAAAGTTGTACTTAGAATTTGATGATGTTTCTGTTTGAATACAGGCGCCTGAGGGAGAGAGTCAGCCAAGTACTGAAGTAGACTTGTTCGTTTCAACTGAGAAAATAATGGTGCTTAATACAGACTTACAGGTATGTTCTCAAGTAACTGCAATGTATCACTCTTTGAAATTGTCATTGTCTGATATTGCCTGTCTTTAATTATGACTATTCCATTCAATTTGTCAATGAAATGTGAATTTTCTTGTGATTCTGTACTACTTACTATGTTCAGGAAAAACGGCAATATGTGACACTTTAGAATTGTCATTTGTCTGATATTGTCTTTTGTCAATGAATTTTCTTGCTATTCTGTGCTATATATAAGTTTGATCATTAACAACAAGCATTTTTATTTCTTGCTAATTCAACTGTTCAACTATATAATTTTTTCCTGGTTGTCAATCATTGAATATCTCAATGTTCTGGTTTCCAGGAAATCATGATGGACCATTCGTTGCGGTCTATCTCTTACATCGCTGATATCGGGGACATTGTGGTTATAATGGCAAAGAGGCGCATGTTGAATAGTCCGAGTGACGATTCTTTACGACGTAAAAAACAAGCCAAGATTGTCTGCCATGTATTTGAGTCTGATGAGGTAAGTGAAGTATAAGAATCAAGAATTGTTTTTGTCATTTTCATTTATTAAGCAGTAATTTGTTAAACATTTGTCATCCCAATTACATAATCAGACTTGACACCCGAGTGTCTATATATAGCCAGTTTTACATTATTTATCAAGAATTTTTCTCATAATTATTTTACATGTTAAAGAATATTTGAATGATTTCTTGACTTGTTGATTATTTGCTTTCATACTTTTGTGAATTGTTGATAACATATTTGTTTCAGATTTTCAATGATTATATGTATTACAATTTCACATATATTTTTTATTTATTTCGATATGTTTTATATTTTTCTCTAGCTTGAGTCCTATAGTCTTATGTCACCACGAAAAAAAACTAGTAGTGTCATATTGTTAAATCCACCATTTTTGTGACTGGCTGTGGCATTTTCTTTCAGCATTTGCAGTCAGTGCAATCGGTGGTCTGTAACATAAAGCATATATATATTTGTTACAAAACTCAGACCTAAATGCTTACTGAGATGGTGATATTTTGTCATGTTATACTATAAATAGGGGTGAGACGACAACCCGATGAGTCGAGGACTCGCGGGTTTGGGGCTTCGAGTCGAGTCGAATCGAGTCGAAGTTGATGAATCGAATCATTTTCGAGTTGAGAAAAAAATTCGAAAAAATAAAAAAATTCAGAAAAATACTGTCAATATGCATGTTTCTACTCGATATTGCGTTGAATATATAAGTTTCAATGACTTGGATATGCTTGTATTAAATTATTATATTGTATGTACACATAAATGAAAGAATATATGTAATAAAATCAGAATAAACTTACGACGAATTGTGTTTGTTTATATTTCCGGCTTTCCACCATTGACGCATTAAAAATACGAACGGTCAAAAGCGATGTTGTTCGCACTTTATCTGACTCGAAACGGATTCGAAACTCGAATCGTCATTTTCTGACTCGAATCGGATTCGACTCGAATCGGATTTTTTCGACTCGTCTCACCCCTAACTATAAATGTTGCCTCATTATTCACATTTATTATTGCCAAAGGAAATAATACTTGATTTTGTTTGACCTTCACTTCTCTTTCAGATATTACTCTTCATAAATGTGTTATAGTTTCTTCATATTGATAATAGGTGGCAGTTAGAATCAAAACTTGGTTTCAGAATTTGCACTTGGTTGATCCAGTTGTACCTTGGGCTTTCAATAGAGGGCACATTAGCCAGATTTTGCCAAGGGGGTTCACTTTTCAAAAAAATCCAGGGGGATTCATGTTTGACATCTTTGGTCTAAAATCACTTGAAAAGTCCTCGGAATGGTAAATAACTGCATGATTTTGAAAAGATTTTCAGATTGAAATCCCAAATCCCCCTGACTACGGGCCTGAAGAGTCGTTTGCTCATATAACTTCTTCACTTTGGAATAAACAAAGCTATTTCAGGCCTGCGTCATGATTTCAGATACTTTAATCAGCAAAATACTTTAAATTGTAATCCATCTTTGAATAGATTACAATTTAAAATCGAGTAAGCAAAACTGTTCGGCTTACAAATTGTACTAAATATAGCTGTCTTTCATGCATGGTTTTACTTATGATGATGTATGGGGCCATTAATCTGTTTTATAGTATTTTTATAAGAAACTGTATATTTAATGAAGTCGTCCCCCTGATTTCTTGTTTACCAATAAATGTGTTTAATTCTCATCGCTCATTCTCAACGCATCGCTGATTCTGTGTATCATTCTGTTTACATGCTGTATCAAAACAGAGTATACCTTTATGTTTAAGCTATTTAGACCATCTTCAAAATATAATCATGTCTGTGTCTCTAACACATGGGCCACTCTGTAAATCTATTCAACAATTATTTATATGAAATGCAGTTCAATATGGAACTTTGTCATAGATGTATTTAAAAGTTTGATTATACCTAAATAAAAAACAATTTAATTATAATGAAATGTAACATTGTGATGGAGGTATCATGGGCTTTCAAGAGAAAAAACCCATGGAAGTATATAAAAGCATTGTTACATCCAAATATAAAGCAAGAACCCAAGAGGGAACTTCTGAACTGTTTGGTAATGTATCGTGGATATAGGAACTGTTTGGTAATGTATCATGGATATAGGAAGTGTTTGGTAATGTATCATGGATATAGGAAGTGTTTGGTAATGTATCATGGATATAGGAAGTGTTTGGTAATGTATCATGGATATAGGAACTGTTTGGTAATGTATCATGGATATAGGAAGTGTTTGGTAATGTATCATGGATATAGGAAGTGTTTGGTAATGTATCATGGATATAGGAACTGTTTGGTAATGTATCATGGATATAGGAAGTGTTTGGTAATGTATCATGGATATAGGAACTGTTTGGTAATGTATCATGGATATAGGAACTGTTTGGTAATGTATCATGGATATAGGAAGTGTTTGGTAATGTATCATGGATATAGGAACTGTTTGGTAATGTTTCATGGATATAGGAACTGTTTGGTAATGTATCATGGATATAGGAACTGTTTGGTAATGTATCATGGATATAGGAACTGTTTGGTAATGTATCATGGATATAAAGGAAGTGAATTTCATGTACCCAAAATTTAAAAACAAGAGAGATTAAACAGTACTAGAAACATTTTTGCCTCTTGTTCATCCTACCCTTTGGAATCAAGTTATATATCATATCAGCAAAATTAAAACTTTAGAAAATACCATTAGAAGCTTTATTGTGTGACATAAATAGATTGAAGAATTTCATGTTTGTGTGAGTGGTTTTCTCTGATACTAAGGAAAATTCAGGAAAAGTGGCAGTTATTTTATAGTATAATCATCATTAAAGATGAAGGATTTATTGCCCGCTTTCTACGTTGCAGGAAATTATTATATTTTAACTAGACAAACCCTTTGAAATCGGAATCATCGAAAAACAAATGGATTTTTGATGAGATTGCTAAATTAATCACAGGGTACTTAAAATGGATTATAACTGATAGGATTATGATTAGGAATGGAGGAGTTTATTTGAGGCTGAAGATTTGAAGGTTTTTCATTATGGCACATTAACACCAGTTTGATTGAGTATCATTGATAGAAAAGTATCGTTATAGCATTTGTTTCTGTCACTGCGCAAAAATAACATCCTATTTATGACAATTTATATGTTTCATTTTATATCTGTGTTTAGAGCTCATTCATCATGTAAAGAACGTGGTTGTCTGATTGTTCTAACTTCGGCAAAGTAGCACATTAGGCAGACTCCCTTTAGAATAACTGCATCATTACGGTTTTGATTGCAATATATTAGCTATGTTTCTTAGGCCAAGTCAATATAAAATGACTATTCAGAATTACCTAATTATTTTTTTATTCATGAATTGATCAATATAGTGTAGTTTTAGGTTTTGTATCAAGTCTCTGTCTAATCTTTGGACTCTATATCCCAGCTTTGGTTTTGAGAAAGTGAGGAATGCAAGTGACCCATTTAGAGGGGTAAAGGGGGCAGCAGATGATTTGTATCTGAAAATAAGGAAATTCTTTTTTTAGGGGGGGGGGCTCATCATGAGGATTTATGAAATATTTCAATTTGAGAAATGAAACATCAAAACCATATTGAGATTTCCCAAATGATATAATTATTGGCATTTCATCAAAAAGATGAGTATTTTAAGATTACCACAGATCGACGTTTAATTAGTCATTCTGTATTTAAGTCCATTAACAATAAGACACATAAAGCAAACTTGTCACACAGTGATGTCAGAAAATCAATTGCATCTACAAATCATATAGAATTATATTAGGCATTTATTGGTCTGTCTCCCTGCCACAATAAAAATCAAATATTGTCATAACGTTAGAAAAACACTGTTAAAATAACATCATTGATTAGCGTTGTCCAACAATTACCCATTAAAGTGTGCTTGATGTGAAGCCCTTACAGATACATTGGAAGTTTTTCATTAACAGGAAACTCGTTCTTTCATTGTCCAATCATCATTTTGATGTCTGTCTCGGTCTGGCGCTATTTTTTATCTTATTAAGCACGGGGCACCTGGGAATGATTCTCCATTGGAGGATTCGTTAAAGCTTGGAAACAAAGAAGGGAGAATCGTGGGATTTAATAGCTTCCTTTGCTTTTAGTGACATCCTCTTTGAGCTGCCAAACAGACAACTGTTATACTAAATCTTTGTGGTGGTTGAATTCAAAGAAAATATTCACAGTCACCCTCTTTCAAAGAGTATGGGTGGAAGCTAAGTGTGTATGTGTTAAAAGATGAAAAAAGCACAACATCGTTTTCTCTTTGACTTTGAGCAATGAATCTATTGATTAGCTATCCTTGCTGTTATTTCAAATCTTTCTCTATTTTTTATTATTGTAAGGGAGTCATAATACAAGCTTGCCAAATGTGACAAACAAAATAATTGATGGATTTCAATAATATCATTCCTATAAAACTGCTTGGGATTTTGTAATTGGTTCTTTTATGTATTGAGATTGTTTAGAATAAAAGCATCTGCATGGATCAACAAGGGATAGCCGTAGAGACAATCGACACATGGATTAAAACTGCTGCAATTATAGCAGCTTTGTAGAGATAATCTCAATGCTTGTCATGGATTATTAGGAAGTAGGAACTCATTTTCTTGTCATGGATATAATCGGAAAAATAATTCAGGATGCTAGTTTATAGGAAACATTAGGACATATGGCACACTGTTCCAATTCGGTTAGTTTGAGGATTGATTGACGTGGTCATGAAAAACATTTCAGTCATAGAATGTTCAATAATTTGGAGACGTTAATGGAGGAACTATATTTATATGCAGATTGATACTTGTTGGAGCTGAAAGATTAGAAGTTATGGTAACCATGGGCCTCTAGCAGAAACGCCAACCAGAACTGGATTTTCTTTGAAGGATTAATGAATTCGGATATGTTGATTATATCCTCACAGATAAAGGTTATAATTTAGTTATGACGCATATAACT